GGGGGGGTCGAACAACCCTTTCCCAGGGGATGCCCGATTCATAACAGTAGCAAAATGACAGTGATGAAGTAGCAACGAAAATAAATGTATGATTGGGGGGGTCAACACCACATGAGGATCTGTATTAAAGGGTTGCAGCATTAGGAAGGTTGAGAACCACTGCTTTAAGACAAACGTTTGACTTTCATATAGTGTACCTGCGGCTTCTTTTATTAAAAAACAAACAAAAACAAAGGAACAGACAAACAAAACCCTCTGAGAAACAGGAAAGATCCCCGTGGGCATGTCTGACCGGGTTGCTTTCTTCAGTCCTTCGTAAGCAAACCACAGCTCTCCGTCCTCGTTTAGATGCTCCAAGTCTTCCCGAGAGAGCCTGGGGACAAGGAAGGAGGAGGTCACCTTTCTCACGCTTCTCCTGGTTTCCAAGCTTGACCGGGCTCAGCGGTGAGTCCAGCAAAACAAACCCAAACAAGCAACACGTACCTGCTTCTGACATCTTCAACGTCATAGCTTTCAAGAAGTTGTTTCGTGATCTCTGACATCTTTTCTGCAACAAGCAAGACAGAGTTCGGACAAATGGCATTTTCTGGGTGTGTGATTTCCTTTCCTCTGGCCCCTTTTTTGGGCATAATTCCCTGCCTTTCCAGTTGGACACCAGATACAGAACCAGTTGGCTTACTAGGCTCCAGCTAGCTGACAAATCAAAGAGCTAACCAGATGCCTGTACAATCAACCCAGCTATCCAACCACCAGCCACCCGTGCTACCTGCTATCCAGCCAACCACGCCAACTGAAAGACACACTGCCTTAGCCGCGGCACAGTGATGGTCACTTCGGTCCGAGCTCCAGGGACAAAGTGACTCCTAGCTCTGTTACCTCTCATTTCTCGTTTTTGGGACTGCACGTGCTTCTCCACATCTATCTTCTGCGTCTGAAGTAGCTCGATCTCCTTTTCCAACTCGGAGATCGTCTGGATCGCAGCAATGTTGGATCAGATGAGAAACAAAACCAGCTGTTACGACTGACATCAGACAAAACCCAAGCCAAACTCATAGCCATCGAGTTGGTTCCAGTTCACAGCGACCCCATAGGGCCGGGTAGAATCGCCCCTGTGGGTTTCTGTAAATCTCAAGACCGTAACTCGTCACAGGAGTAGAAAGCCTCAACTTTCTCCTGTGGCGCGACTGTGGCTTTGAACTGCTAACCTTGCAGTTAGCAAGCCAAGACACACTGCCACCCCGGCTCTCACATTCCAGCATCGTGAATATGCACGAGGCTCTTCACTGTAGCTCCTTACTTAAAGTTATGGAGGGCCATCACTCTCCATATAGCCTGGCCTCTGAGCTTATTAAACGGATTGAAATGTTATTTCCCCCAGATCAACCTGATTATATCAACAGAATTAGGTTCTCCACCATGTAAAGGGGAAAAATAGTAATGACTTCTACAAGTTCTGGATGGAGTGATGGGGGCGGAGGAGCTGACAAAAGTGAAACCCAGGGCTAAAATTCTCTTTCACTGGATAACACACTTGGACACAGTGTTGCTAGTTTCATCTCTGTGGTTTTCGCGTCAGCCAGGCTTAGGTGCCGGGCAGCGGCTGAGATGGGGTAAACCCAGGAGATCTGGGAGTTGACTCTGGGGGAGAGGGGGTGGCCTATGGGCTGGGGTCCACTGAAGGGCAGCTGTCTGTGGGGACGGGGCTGTATTCTGTCTTTCAGAGGCCTGACTGGCTCAGCCTGTGTGAGGGACCTCAGGCTTATGTTTTTGTAGCTAAGGGAGGCAGAAAGACCTTGAGGAAGCGCAGGGTGATAAGACAGAGCCTCAGTTACCTCGACTCCCAGGGGTGCTGTTGAGCAAGTGTTGGACTGCTAACCACAAGGTTGTTGGTTCAAAACCACCAGCTGCTACTAGGGAGAAAGATGAGGCTATCTACCTTGGAAACCCTAAGTAGTATAGGCCGTGGACTTGGGTTTTGATTTTTTTGAGTGTTGCGTAGCTAACAAGGATCTTGCCACAACCAAAGCACTGAGCGCTTTACGGTGCATGACCTTGTCCTCCCACAAAGCCCGGGCGAGTGCGGGGAGTCGCTTTTGTAGATGAGAGGACTGAGGTTACGTACAGATTAAACGGCATGTTCA